CTTGAATTCTCACATGATAGTTGGGCCTGCGGTAATATACGTGGTGGCACCAAAATGCCTCCAAGCAGACATGGTGGGCTTGGATAGCAAGCTCATATACTCTATCTTGATTGCCCTTAAGCTGGCTATAGGCGAAAATATGAATGAGACATATTGTTTTTCATCGCTGCTGTCTTTATCGCCTGCCTCTCTTCCTTCAGCCTGGATCTCATCACAGATATACTACTTCTTTACTGTGCGTCAGCCATGTACATATGAATGGACTTCCTGGATGCTTCTCTTCATAGCTGTCTATCCTCTCTTGGATGAATGCAGACATACTGCTCTACGTTTTCGCAAGAAAGTTCTTCATGAGCGGCCACTGCAACAGACCCAAACCCACTGCACAGCAGACAGCACAGGGAGGGACAGCACAGGCGACGGACCGTCCTCCCTTCACTGACATCGCGACCGCTGCAGTTGACAATGGGATAAGCGATCGACCACTTAGACACAAAGACAGCAACGCTTCAAGACTCCAGCACAGCGGGACGACGAGAAGTCACCTGAGGCGGCAGACCACATTAATGACAGCAGCCCTTTCCTTCATTAGCACGGAGCCAGCGCTCGCTGGAACTGCCAAGGTGCAGTCAGCTTTGGCGTCTCTGGAAGTCTCACCTCGCTACCTCCGCACCCTGTCAGACCAAATCAGGCTGTACTCTCTCATCGAAGTCACCGGGCTGCTCTACACCAATCTGATGATGTTAATTACTAACCAAATATAGGGCACCGCTTCATCTCTCAGTTTTGTGCAAGGAATTGGGGGCCTGCTCATGCTGGTCAGCATCGAATGCGCTTTCGAAGCGGTTTTTTTTCTTGTGATGGTCCGATGGAACAACATCCCTCTGCTGTCATCCAGTTACGAGAAAGGCGTCACGTGGTGCGGACTTTTCACGTGTTTATGGATTTTGATGCTCGGGTAAGCTGTGATCGAGACACACACTATTATATGCTGCGAGAATGCACCCTTGTCTGTCGCTCCCTCATCCTGTCCTCTTTCTGCCTTTCCTGTCTGTCTGTCTGTCCAGTGTGTCGCTTATGATTCCGTATCTTAAAGTCTTCGTGCTTCGTGGGGCGGATGCTGATAAGTGGGGCGAGATTCAGCCTAAAGATGTGTGCCCATATTTCTCCTTTATTTTCTAAGGAGACACCGGCACCGTTCATTCGTTTGCTTACTCGGTGGTGTACAGGTGATTGGCCTTCTCTAGGCAATTTACCTATAGTATGGGGACACACGATGCGTGCTTGCTTAATAATTCCTCGGTCAAATCAACCCCAAATCACCTCCATCCACCCCCTGCTCATCCTGTCCATCAAAAACCCTACGTTGGACGCACTTACTCTCTGCACTGCCCTCCCTCCCTCCCTCTCTGTTGGTATGTGCCTGTCTGGGTGGCTTCCTGTCTGGCTGTGGGGCTGGGGTTGGTGTGTTGCCCTCCAATGCTGGCGGTTTGACCTGATGGCTAGGCAGCTGTGTGTGAGTGTGTGTAGGTGTGTGAGGCCTGTCTGCCTGACTACCTGCCTGGGTGAAGCACATGGAGTAAGACCTTCTTACATGGTATTAATGGCCCACATGCCCCTCTCCAGGTTTCTCCCACACCACACAATCTCACAACCATGGCCAACGAGCTGTATTGGGCTGACTGCCTGGCTGTGTGTGTGTGCGTTGGTGTCGATGGACTGACTGATGTGAACGCGTCGGTGGACAGAAATCAACACACGCACACACTCCAACACTCCTTGGCTGCGCTGCCGTGTCTACCTGTTTTGCCCCTCCCTCCTCTCCATCTGGATGGCTGGTCGGTCGGTGCTTTAGTTTGTTGGGCTGTTGATTGACATCTTCTCTCTCTCTGAATGGGTACACACATGTCGGTCTGCCTGCATGAACCCAGACAGACAGACAGACAGACAGACAGACAGGCCGGTCGATAGACCACCCACTCTTGTATGGCGTGTCCATCCATCCATCCATCCATCCGTTTATCCATCTGCGCCGCATTGTCTGCTGCACACACACATCACACATACGTGGCATTGTGTGCTTCACAGTCGTGGTCCATCCACTCACACCATCGCACCAGACAGACAGACAGACAGACAGACAGGCCGCTCCGATGCGGTCAGTCGGTTTTGCCTCCTTGTTGGTTCCCTGGGGCTGTGGGCGGCTTCCTGAGTTCATCTCGTGTGCGGCTGCTGCATGGCACATCCGGCATCCGGTCATGGATACGCAGCCATACACACTGGAGCGATCTGCTCCAACCCTCCTGACTTACTCGTGGTGATGGTGGTGCATGGTGGTTGGACGGCGGCGCGCTGCATGTGGCGTGTCATTGGTCCATCTCTGCTGCCTAATTGCCTTACGTCGGCTGCCTCCCTCTCCCCTCCCCTCTCTGTATCCCTCGATCTCTGTACACACCGATACATACCGATACATACAAAATATGTAGACAGCATATGGTGACATACTATACGTACTGACGTGTGTCCACATCGATGGCTTCTCTCTCTCTGTGTAAGTGCATGTGTGTTGCCTGCTGGCCATGGATGAGTGTTGCACGTGACGCACACTTCTGTGTATTGGCCTGTCTGCCTGGCTGTGTTGATGGATGGACTGACAGACATGTGTGTGTGAGCATTGCATTGGATTGCTCATGTCCGTGTGGTGAATAGTGCACATCGATGCACACAAATGAGTACACACTCACTCAAACACTCAATCACTCTCTCCTCAAGCCAAACAATGAACCTCATTGCGCTCGCCTGCGTTCGCACCACTCACTCGCACCACTCACACGCACTTCTGTCCTCTCGTCACCTATGAAGCAATGAGTTCGATCGCTCAGTGCGAGCTTCCAATACAGCGAGCAAAGACGTGAGAAGGCTTCGCGGTTCACACGAGGCGGCTGCGATGATGAGCAGGCAACCGGAGCAGCATCAGGAGCAGCAGCATCCCTTCACGTACATCTTCGTTGGTCGTCGCACGTTCTGGCTGCTCAGCCTCACAGACATACTGCGGCTGAGAGCCACCTGCACATGGCTCAGGAGTCTCTTCAAAGCGGCCCAGCTGAGAGATCGGCTCCGTCACTCTGTCGGCTCACAGGCGGGGCTGCGGCGGGTGGTCAACGGACAGCAGGTGCAGCTGGTGCGGTTCGACGATGACCAGTTCGGCATGTGTGATCTGCTGGCGGCTGTGTGTGTGATGGAGGAGGGAGAATGGGTGGAGATCGGCGAGGTGATTGAGTGGGCCAGCCAGTGCGGCCACTGCACACTGCCTGTCAACCTGACGGCAGATGACATCAACGCACACGCCAATATGACGGTAAGGACACACACACAGGGGGGCGGGAGAGAACAGAGAGGCCTCATTCATTCCTCTCTGTCTGTGTGTGTGTGGTGTAGGCGTATGGATCGTTTCCCCGTGTGTTGGCGCAGCTCATGGTGGTCGGCCGCCATGTGGCCTTAGGTGACGGCAGCTGCCTGCAGCTGTTCCAGTATGGCAATGGTGAGGTGCGGGCCATCAAGGACCAGGACGAGTTCCGGCTGACCGTCGACCCGCCCCTCGCCGCCCACCATCTGTATCAGCGGCATCGACTGGAGCATGACCCACCAGTGGCCAGCGACATGCACTTCCCGTCCACCGATGCGTCGGTGTCGTCGTTGGCCAAGCGCACGATCCTCAGCCACTTACACTTACCTCAGACTCACCAGATCAATCGCACATCGATACGGCTCAACAGGTGACACATCAGTGGCAGCAGTGGGTGAGAGGGGTGCGTGTTTGATTTTGTGTGTGTGTGTGTGTATATGCGGTTGGTTCAGGCGTGTTGGTGGCGGCCGTCTGGACGGCCTCCTCACCCAGTCGCCCCACATACCGGTCGCCAGATGTACCACCACACTCGGCTCGGACGGTGGTGTGCGGTCTCTGGTGCTGACCGACAGCAGCCACAACCTCGTCGCGTGGATTACTATTGAGGATCAGGGAAACGACAACGGTAAGGACGACAGACAGACAGATCCGCTGGTCAAATCTCATGTGATATCTGTCTGGGCTGCCTGTGCAGTGGTGGTGTATGTCGTGACGACCGAAGTTCCTGTGTGTGCGAGCGGTGCCTTCAAGGACCGCTTCCCGGTCACCACTCAGCTGGCCCGTGTGGCGCTGGGTCAAGTGGCGCCATACGTCTTCGACGGCCAAGTAGACGGTGACAATGACGATGATGATGACGGTGCGGACAGGGGAGGGGGAGGGAGACACACACACATGATGGCCATGGTGTGGATGGATGGCATTTCTTCTCTGTCTGTGTGTGTGTGGTGTAGATTCCGACAGTCATGGCGGCGGCTGGGATGATATGGACGTCGACAGCGACGGAGAGGGCAGCGGAGGTACACACGAAGGGGAGGGACACCCTCACGTCCATCCGCATCACATAGCGTGTGTGTCTATCTGAAGCCGAAGAGGAGAGCGGCGAGTGATCAACCCAACTCAATAACGGACCGCCACAGGTACTCACACACACCACAGTGTGTTCGAATCTTCTGTCTGTATGGGTGTCCTCTTTGTGTGTGTTGGCAGGGTGTTTGCAGTGCTGTCTGTGGCTGCTTGCCGCCCAGATCGACTCATGGCTGTCTGTGATAGAGAGAGATCGTATGCCGCCCACTCTGTAGAGAGACCAGCTGCTGACACATGACTGACCCAATGGCTGTGGGTGGGCGACCTGTCTGCGTTGCCCAATCCACTCTCTGTGCACTGCCCTCCCTCCCTCCCTCCCTCCCTCCCTCTCTCCCTCTCTGTTGGTATGTACCTTTCTGGGTGGCTTCCTGCCTGGCTGGGGGGAGGGGAGGGTGGAGCTGGTGGCCGGTTTTGACCCTGATGGCTCGGCCGCGGTGTGTGAGTGTGGATGTGTGAGACCTGTCTGCCTGACTAGCTGCCTGGGTGAAGAAAACGGAGTGAGACCTTCTTACATGGTATTGATGGCACACATGCCCCTCTCCAGGTTTCTCCCACACCAGTTGGCCAACGAGCTGCATTGGGGTGGCTGCCTGGCTGTGTCTGTGTGTGTGTTGGTGTGGATGGACTGACTAATGCGCACGTGTCGGTGGACAGAGATCAATACACACACACACACACACACGCTCCTTGGCTGCGCTGCCGTGTCTATCTGTTTTGCCCCTCCCTCCTCTCCGTCTGGATGGCTGGGGGACACACACACCAGTGGTGCACAGGATGTGTGGATGGATGGATGGATGAAATCTCTTGTCTGTCTTTGTGTGTGGTGTTCCGACGGCCATGACGAGTGACGATATGGATGACGCATCGGCAGAGGAGGATAGCGACGAGGGTGACGGCGACAACGATGATGCCGACAGTGGTGACGGTGCGGACAGGGAGGGAGGGACGGAGGGAGACAGGGAGGGAGGGACACACACTCGCGCGAATGGATGGCTAACGTGCCTTCTTTATGTGTGTGGTGCAGACGGTGATGGTGGCGATGAGAGTGACCATTTGGATGTCGACAGCAAACACGGCAGCGGAGGTACACAGGAGCGAAGGAAAGAAGGCACACACAGAACACCACAGATACCCTTGTCTCGATCCGCATCACATACATTTGTGTGTGATTCTGTGTGTCTTGATGACAGGTGAGATGCATCAGCCGAGGAGGAGAATGGCGGCGTTGACGACACACACACCAATCATCATTATACCTACAGGTACGCCGACACCCCTCACACCCCGTGGTGTCTGTCATTGAATTGACCCCGAACCATTCGTTTCTCTCTTTGTGTGTGTGTGTGTATCCTGCCTGACCGGCTGCAGTAGCAAGTTGTCCGGTCGCCTCGACGCATCGCATAGCTGTCTGTGCGTAGAGTAGATGAGAGGCTGATGGCCCACCGACTCCGCGACTCCCCGACTGCCGGCCTGCCGGTGTGCATCTCTTTCCCCCACTGTCGCGCCTTGTATCTATCTGTCTATCTGTGTCGATAGCCCTCCCTCCTGCTGGCTGCGTGTGACGTATGGTGTCTCTGATCGACTGATTGATGCACACGTGTGTGTGAGGTAGTTGATCTGTGGGTCGCGTGTGTCTGACTTGCCCCCTCTCTCCATCCACATGCCCATATCTGACGTCCATGGCTGCCTGGCTACTTGGCTAGTTGGCTTCCTTTGGGGGTGGTGCTGTGTCTCATGGATGGTGTCTTGACGGCTGGTGGGGTGTGAGTATCGACCATGGGTGTGCTTTACTTGTACAGCCTTGTCGCCTGCACTGTGTCGTGACCGTCATTGAGACGCATGGGCTGCCACCAGTGTGTCTGTGCAGAGGAGAAGTCGATGAGACACAGGGGACAGTTGGAGCTGCTGACAGTCGACCAAGTGGATGAAGCTATGTGATTGGCTCCACATGAATGTGACAGTTAATTTTGATAGCGCTAGTGCAGTGCATGTGATGCGATAGATACGTCAGCGCACCAGCCGGTGGCGCGATTTCACTTTTCCTTGGTGGAGTTGAGAGCTCGCAGTTTCCAGCAATTTTCGGCAGCGAGGGTGGTCCAGTGCATTGTACAGGACCGATTGTTCTTGCCTTTCGGACGGTGGTGCGTGCGGACCTCACTGATTGTCGCTGTGCTCGCCATGAAGAACTGAATGCATGTGCACATTACATTCATCGCTCTGTACAATTGCGTGTCCCCGCTTTGGCTGCTCACGGATCGGATCATACATCCTCATGGATTGATCTGTCTGTCTGTCTGTCTGTCTGTCTGTCTGTCGCTCTCCGCTCTCTCCTTGGTCGCACCGTACCTGGCGCGCACACACAACAAGAGAGAGAGACTTAGTGTGTACCCCTCCCTCCTTCGAATGGGTTTCTTCACCCGGGCATGCATTCCCTGTGCAGTCTGTCTATGTGCAGCTACCTACCTGTCGACGACACTCCTTCCTCGCTGAGATTGACGCCGGCAATGAATTGGTGGTTCAATGGCGTCAGCAGCACACGTGTGGCAGGTCGCCGTGGGGCCCTCGCCCCGGGCGAACGAATGCCGTGACGCCCTCGGGAAACGGTCGGTTGAGGGGGCGGTCCATCAGCGCCACCACATCTGACCCAATGGCACCAGATCTCAATTGCCAGATCTGACCCAATACATACAAGGAGAGGAACAAACACATGTATTGCACTGCACGGCTGCCTGTCTGTCTGTCTGTCTGTCTGCCTGCCTGTCTGCCTGCCTGCCTGCCTGCCTCCCTGCCTCCCTGCCTGTCTGTCTGTCTGTCTGTCTGTCTGTCTGAGGGTCGCGCTGCGTCCATTATTCCGTCGTCTGCAAATTTGCGAGACGACCGCCGAACGAAGGGCGTGTTACTCACCACGTATGCGCTCCTCATCGTCGTGGCGTTCATTTACTCTGCAGCAGCGGCGACTGCTCGCGACGAGTACTGTGAGGGCACGGACTGCCCTGCCGATGGTGGGCGAATGCACGTGAGATGGAGATCCATGGCGCACACATCAGTGCTAGCTGGCCCGTATCCGGCTGTCCGACATCGTATCTGTCGACTGTGTGCAGGTGCGTCGTTCCTCGGCGGCGGTCAAGAGATCCAGGCGGTCAAGAGATCCGGTACCCACACACAGATGGGTGTGGGGTGAAGACCTGTGCGTCCATCCATCAAATGTGCGTGTGCGTGCAGGAGCTGAGTTGTCCATGATGGAGCAGCACCTCCTGACCGGAAAGAAGTCACTCCAGTCGGCCATCAAGCTCCGCACTGAGGCCAATAAAGTCACCAGCGCCGCCAACGATTTGATGGTCGCAGCCAACACAACCCTCGATAACCTCCAGACGCAGCTGAATGTCCTTACCGGTATGCAGGCAGGGAGGCATCCACACTGATCCATCCATCCATCCATCCATCGAGTTCGCATTGTCATGCGTCCTGTGTCGTCTTGCCGAATGGATGAATGTGACAGGCACTTTCGCAACGGCTGTCAAGACCGGCCATTCCGACTACGAGAAAAGGCATCCCCAAGGCCAGTGGGTGGTGGATGTATGGGAATATCACTCTCTCTGTATGGCTCTTCTCCTCCCTGCAGATGAATGCCAGAAAGACAAGGACTGCGCAACGACGGGCAAAGAGGGGTTCTGCTTCGAGCACGTCGACCGACACAGGAAAACAGAAACATACAAGGAGGACAAGAACAACCCGCTGTATGCACGTCGCTGCCAGGCAAGGGTCACCTATGCTGTTGGTTCTGTTGGTTCGGATGCAACTCATCGGCCTTGCTGTGTGTGGTGTCCTTTGCCTTTGCAGACGAAGGGCGATCGTAAGGACTACTGCGGGGACAGCGGGGACAAGCATTCGTCGGTCTTTTCATGTGTTTCCCCTGATTGCGAGCCCAAGAAGCCCAAGAGCAAGCCGTGCAAATGGGGTCTGGAGTGCAAAGACGACGTTTGCGTGTAAGTGGCCGACTCGCTTGTGCATGCACATGTGCACCTGCGAATGAATCGACAGGTCGGATCGGTTTCATACCTTTCTCGAGGGGCGCAGCATCAAATCCACCGAACCCGGACGTTAGCACGCAAACAACACATGAACGAATGAATCGCATGAAACGTGGACCTTTGCTTGCCCATATGTGATATCCCACGTGTGTGCAGGCAGATGCTGGTTCGCGGAGCAAGCGAAACGTAACCACCAGAAGCATTGCCCAGGTGAGTCTTGGCTATGCCGTCTGCTCATGTCTCTATCTCTTTCTCTCCCTCTCCCTTTCTCTCTCTCTCTCTCTCTCTCTGTCCATCCATCGTTCCTAACACCAGAGGGCCAGATCTGTGCACTCACCCGCAAGAGGTCTCACAAGGGTGCTGATGCTGTCCGAAGCTGCAGGACTATGTCAAGTGGGCCGTTGAGGGCGAGTGCGTGCCGTTTGTCGATCGGGAGTCCCATTGTAGCGAGACAGACTGCCTTCCCCCAAAGGCTTGCCAGTGCGCTTCGGCCGCAGCGAACCCTATCCCGGTGACGAGTATGTCTGCGCGGCGGATCGTTTCAACTACTGCGACGGCAAAGGACCATACAAACCCTCGGGTACTCGACAGGTGCATATCCATCCATCCATCCATCTATCCATCCAGTTGGCATTTCCTGTGTCTCGCCTTGTCTGAATGCAGTTTGCCCTGTCCAGTCTGGGCGTCTCGCTTCCACACCGGCCGGCAAACATCACGGTCCGTAACTCACGCAGAGCAGCGTACATGTGTGTGGGGGTGTACGTATCCTTGTGTGTGTGTGTGTGTGTGTGTGTGTATACAGGCAAATGTGAGCTGACGGTGACGACAGATGAGGGTCTGGACCGCCGCCACTACAAGCACACGTGTCCGGACGGCCTGGTCTGCCTGATAACCAACGAGTACCACGGCTTCGACGGGGACACCGATGTAGGCGTGTGTATCAATGCGGCCGACGTCGAGAAGCTTTGCCGCAAGAGGGACGACTACGACCCAAAGCAGGAGCGCCAGCCGTTCGCGGTTGCCCAGTACTACGATTTTCAACACACAGAGTGCGAGTACGTCTGGGTGGACTACGTCGCCTCCCGCAAGACAAGAAGGCCCGTCTGGGAGCGGGTCGACCGCTCCGGGCCGGATTGGTTCGAGTTCTGCGCCGCCAAGGACATCACCCATGAAACCCTCGAGTTCACACGTACGCACGCGTAGTGCTTTATACACACAAACACACCGATGCACCTGCACGCGAAATGGTCCTTCCCTCTGTTCTTATTCGTACGCGTGTGTTGATTGTGTGCAGCTAGTGACAAGTGCGCCGAGTACACCAAGGAATTCGCCAAGAAGTTCGCCGCCTAACCAAGCCCTCGAGACCACTGCTCGGATTCCCCTCGGCCTCTGCGGTGGACTCTGCGCATCATCGATTCTGCACAGGGCCCGAGACCAAGAACCAGCCATGCGGCCCGCCCTCCAAGACGTGCATCTGCAACCGCGAAGGAGACCAATGCAAGACCAAGGTTCGTGGGTAATTTACGCGTCGATCTCTGTGTGGCTGGCTGGCTGGCTGGCTGGCTGCCATGTTATGTTTGTGTTGATATGTTTGTTTACGTCTGTGCAGGAGGGCTTCCAGGCCGATATCGATGCTAAGACCGCTCGTGAGAAAAAAGAGAAACGCTCCCGCGCCGAACATGAACTCGAAAACTACGATGGAGGTGAGTGCACTGCAAATACACACAGGGGCCACATCCATGCGGGCGTGTACACATGTGTCTGTCTGTCTGCATGCGTGTGTGCTGTGCGAGCAGGCACCTGCTTCTATTTCACCCACGGTGGGTCGGTGAGTCAGAACTGCGGCGGCGGACTGGTGTGTGTGGTGGGCACGCGCACGCCAGAGGAGGGGAGACGGTCGGGGAAGTGCATGCACAAGGAGAAGGCAAAGGATAAATACTGCCATGGCGCGCCGGTCAAAAGGGACAACTATGGCCGATATAGCTGCCAGCCGTTCAAGGAGGGCACGGTAGCCTGACTGATGATTAGAGCAAGGAGGGGCGGGAGGGAGGGAGGGAGGGAGGGTACACTTAAGCGACGGCTTTTCTCTTTTCTTTTGTTTTTCGTCATACCCTCTACACCATTTCTTTCAGACTGCAGGCGGGATACACACAGAGGCACGGACGGACACAGAGGGGTTGACACACACAAGGGGGGACACACAGAGTTTTCATTATGGTCATTTTGTTTGTAATTATGTGATTTGTGTGATCCCATCGTCTGTCTGTCTGTCTGTCTGGGGTGGGTGGTGTTGGCCGCGCACGTCCATGGCCTGGCTGCAGCGTTGCACTCATTTCACGGATGGATGGACCGTTTCCTTTGTCCTTTCCATCAAGCGCTCCAAACGACCGACCACATTATATTGGCTGGCACAGATCAATCAATGAATGAAGGGGGACTCTCCATGCCTCGACTTAGTTAGCCTTTCAGAAACACCACACGCGAACATCAACTATCTCATCGGCAGTCAGAGAGCATCCCCCACTCACTCACTCAACTCACTAATCGAGAGCCTGCTGGGTGTGAGGTACTTGCCTGTCCGCCTGTCCCTCTGTCTGTCTGTCTGGTGGGCGTGTGGTGAGCGGGGGGAGGAGAGGTGCTGAGACGTGCAATGCCATGCGCTCGACACGTGTGGTGTGTGTGTGTGGCACTGTGTGCATGGGAATCGTTGGCACTGAACGCCTCTCCTCATCCATCCATCCATCCATTCATCCATTGGTCCATCCATTGTCCATTGGCCCATTCGCGTGTTCCTGCGGGATTCCGTCGGACCGACACACAAGGCCCTCAGGCATGAGCGCGTGATGGTCATTTATTTCACAGCCAGGCTGGTCCAAAGCAAACCATGCGGCTTGGCTGAAGAAGGCGGCCTCCCCGCTGTTTACAACAACTTCCTGGCCATCGAGCGTCGAACGGTAGAGAGAATGATGGCGGGCAGATCTGCGATGTTGGCGTTGCTGTTTGCGCTCATTGCCCTCTGCGGCCCATTGGCGGAGTGCGAAGAGATCCACACCGAACACGGCCTCGGTAAGTCCAGACGCCATTGGCCATATATTGACGGGGCGGGGTGAGATCCGATGGACGGATGCCCTCCATGTGTGTGGCGGAATGGATGGATGGATGTGCAGACGCAGACGCCTGCGAGGGAGAGGACTGCGCCTTCGGCGGAGAATTCGCCGCGGGGTGAGGGAAATGAATGGATGGATGGATGGATGGACAGATCCCTCTTGGTATGTGTCTGTGTCCATCGTGTGTGTTTCCAGCGGGCGGACGGAATGCTACCTGGTGAGCGCAGCACCATCTTGCTGCGAAACAACAGCCGATAGATGGATGGGTGTGTGGTGTGTGGAGGGTGATGTTGTGGGTACTACTGGGTTTAGGGTGCGAGGGAGGTGGCCAAGGCTGTGCCGCGGGAGGGTTCTGGCCGGCTGGAAGAGGCCTTCTGCCCCGAGGTTAGAGAATTTTGCGTCTTCAACGCCAGAAGGTTCACCTCTGACATAAACTACTACCTCATCGTACGTATGGGAAGGATCATGCATGCATGCCATGCAGACAAAGAACATCAATCGTCAGTCCAGTCAGCGTTGTTTGTGTGTTTTCATGCCTGCCTGCCTGCCTGTGTGCCTGTAGGTCGGCACGGACTATAAAGTACTAGAAGACTACGATGGTATCCCGCGGTGCGGCTTCAGGACACGGCTGGAATTGAAATGAGCAGGCTGGTACGCGCGACACGACGAAAGATGTGTGTGTACGTGTGTGTACGTGTTGTTGTGTGGTGTGTCCCTTCTCTCCCATCCCTTGCCACGCAGCCCACACACCGCACCCCGGCACACCACGGCAGCATTAGATAGCCGAGTAGGGAACCTGAACACCTCAACCGGTACAGGTACGTATCCATCCATCCATCCATCCATGCATTCACACGCACCAGCCCATATCGTGTCGGTGCATCCGTTCACACATTCACGTGACGTGAGGGATACACACAGACACACGGACACAGAGGTGTTGACACACACAAGGGGGGGACACACAGAGTTTTAATTATGGTGGTCATTTTGTTTGTCATGTGATTTGTGTGATCCCATCGGCTGTCTGTCTGGTGTGGGTGGTGTTGGCCGCGCACTTCCATGGCCTGGCTGCAGCGTTGCACTCATTTCCTGGATGGATGGACCGTTTCCTTTGTCTTTTCCATCAAAGCGCTCCAAACGACCGACCACATTATATTGGCTGGCACAGATCAATGAATGAGTGAGTGGGGCCTCTCCACGCCTCGACTTAGTTAGCCTTTCAGAACACCAGACGCAAAATGTCAGCCAGCGAACCACACCACACCACACTATACTATGTGTGTCTTCCCTCCCCTCCCACACTCACGCACCTCTCCCTATCAACACCCCCAGCCATCCCCTCCCTCCCTCCCTCTCTGCTAACTCCCATATTCAAGTGTGCCGATCACTGTCACCCTCTTAGTGCTGTCCTCCTCGCCACACACAGTGAAGCCCTCCCCTCCCCCCCCCACACACGGTAGACGCGGGGCGGCGACGCCAGGCACATCGGACACCGGCCGTTGCGGACGGCCGAGCTGCGCCCCCACGCCACCAGATTCACACGCCAGCCGGACCGGATCTTCTCAGCCTGACCATCCATCCATCTATCCATCCATCCATGACGATGACGGGCTGTGTTGATCCATGGGCGGGGGAGAAAGTGACGGAGGCAGGGAGGCGCCGCAAGTGATGGGGTCGACAGACCAGCCAGACCGATGGTTGAGACACACCATGCCTGAGATACACCGCGCGATGCATTGAAGAGATGGACATGCATGTGCATGGGTCGACTAGTGAGACAGACATGGAACCGATGTGTCTGTCCACGGACAGGCACATTCAATTTGCACACCACACCCCCCAGGCCACCCGGCGTGCGAATGAATGACACTCACAAAGGATTCCCTCCAGCTGTACTTACGTGGCCAATGAAACTGGCCATTGTCTGTCTGTCTGTCTGTCTGTCTGCACACTTTGATGAATGAAGGTCTCTGTCACACACGTGCGAATCCGATCCTCCCACACCGACCGCACTATCACTCCTTCCCTCGTTGGCCTTCCTGGCCGCCATCTCCCTGCTGCTGCGGCTGCTGCTGCTGTGTGCATCGGCCTGGGAGGGTGCCTGCTGCATCATGACCGCCTTCTGCTGCATGGCCTGCTTCATCCCCAGGGCGTAGTAGTGGTGCGGGTGCATGTATGGGATCGGCCGCCGATCGCGAGTCCTTTACCAATCACAACACACGATCGAGGCCCACTCATCCTCTCAACCTTCCGTCCGTCTCTTCCTCCCTCCCTCGCCTCTCCCGTCCCGTCCACCTCCTCAAGCAGCTGCTGCTGCATCGCTTCAAGTTGGCCCTCACTGCAACACCAGGAGAAAGCAGCGTATTCCAAGCGTGAAGACAACCAGAACGCAGACAGCACCGAGATCTAGACGGACCATCAAGACCATCGCCTTCATCCTCCTGTGGCTGCACTGCATGGCGCCGGCGAGAGCGGAGTCCGAGACCGACCAGAACAACACCAGCGGGGTAGCGGATGGGCCGAGAGGGATGGAGCCGGTGCCACCGCAAACGGCGCGGACCCAAAGAGCGACAACAAAGGGAGAAAGTGCACAAGAAAAGAACACATCCGACCAAGACCGAGAAGTTCAACGATAACACCCTGACATCTCTGCCTGCATCTTATAATTATATCCCGACCGTCACCTTCTCAAGCAGCCCAGGCAACAACAGCAGCGGCCGAATTGACGTCCGTCGACGAGCTCCTCGACGACTCACTCAGCACCGTCAGTCAAACACGAAGACAGACACATACACAAACAAAGAGAGAGACAGGCAGACACTTATGTGTGTGTGTGTGTGTGATGGCTGCAGAGCCAATCGTTGTTCAGCACGCCCACTCACAGACAGAAGGAGACAGACACAGACATCAGAGGGGTTGGCTTCTTGTGATGTGTTTGTTGTGTGTTGTCGATGGCCAACTGCATCCATCATGCCCTTAGCCTTGATCAACTCCAGCTGCACAAGTGACAGCTCCGCAGACGACATCCATCCACACATTCACGGCCCATATGTTGTGTGAGTCCGCCGCGTACATATAAGATGGCGGCCCCTCCTGTCCTGTCCCGTTGTATGTATCCACACATTGGATCATTGCCATCGGTCACGGCGTCTCACTCACTCACTCACTCACTCACTCACATGCACTCACTAACATGCACTCACTCAGTCAGTCGTTCCCTCAGTCTGTCTGTTCGTCGGCTACAACTCAGCGCAAAAAGATAAAGAAAAGGACGAACCTCTGTCTGTTCCTCCGGTAATCTATCTCTCACACACAAGCCATCCATCGATCAGCCCATCAAAGACGACCACCCGCCCCCGCCACTGCAGCGGCAGCAGCAGCTGCTGCCGCTGGTGCTGGTGCCGCCGATGCTGCTGCTGGTGGTGCACCACCCTGCGTGTGGTCGGTGGACGGCGCTGGATTGCCTCTGTGAGTGTCCTCAGGGTCATCTTCCTCGCAAAATCGGATCTTGTATGCCTTGTTGAGGAGGGCGTCGATGTAGAAGAGGCGGTCCCACACCCACGGCTTCAGCATCACATCGCCATCACCCTAGACGCACACACACACACACACACACACACAAACACACACACACAGAGAGAGAGAGAGAGAGAGGGAGAAAGAGAGGGGTAGGTATGCGTGTGACGTGTTTGTTGGGTGAGGGGGACAGGTGAGTACCTACCTGTGGCTGTTGGTGAGGGGCGAAGAGAATGGGCAGTCTATCGTACAGCGATGTGATCTGCTTGCGCACCTCGTCGAGCTGCTCCAGCGCCTGGACACGGCTCTCTGCAGGCAACAAACACACACATCACACACACACACCTCCCACATTCACTGGCCGTCGCTCCCACTCACCCACCTAGTTCCTCCAAGTTGAACAGCTGCTGCATCGGCAGGGCATTGCGCACCTCGTCTGCAGTCGGCCTGGCCGACGACACCTTGACGAGCGGCACGGGCGCCCTCAGCGTGTCGAAGTGGCCCTCTGCCAGGTCGTGCACCACGCGCACACGCACACGCATCATGGTGCTGTTGTTGTCGTACAGCTCTGCACACAAGGAAAGGCAGCACAGCACAAAGACACAGCGAGCGAGACAGAATCAGATGTAGTGGGTGGAGAGGGTGATGCTTCCTTCCGCTTACCGCTGCCCTGCACACCGATCCCGAGGCCGACTTTGTACCCCATCGTGCCGTTGTCTGTCCGCCAGTTGAGCCGGATGGCGATGGAGCCGAGCAGCAGATGGGCGTACTGCTCGCTGAGGCCGGCCACGAACCGGCTGGCCCGCTGGCCATAGGTGTCGCCGGATGTGTCGGTGCCGTACGTCTCGGTATGGCTGACGTCATCGGTGGGCGGGGAGGACAGCGGGGGCGTGTTGGTGAGCGAGGCCTTGTATCCGCGGATGGTCACGTCGCGGACAGAGTCGGCAAGGGACTGGTATGGTGGCGACGGCATGATGGCGGGCGGGTTGAGCTGCAGGACAGATGGCACGCGCAGCTCGGTCAGCAACCTGAGAGAGAGAGAGAGGGGAGATACACGCAAAGTGAGTCGTGACCTTTGTTTGCTGCCATCCATCCATCCATCCATGCTCCACCTTACTCTGTGAGTTCGGTGCGGTTCCGTGCGAGTTTGTGTATGCATCCCATCCACTGCTCGTCATACGTCTGACAAACACAGCCACATCACATCCACACGCATACAACACACGAGCCAATGCGATCCGATCATCGCGTGTGTGTATGGTATGTACGGTCTGGTCTCTGGTCCCCAGTTTCCTTCCCCACTGACTGACCTGTTGTTGGTCGTCGTGGCCGTCAATCCTCTCGCCATTGTACCCACCGAAACTCTCCTGCCCATGCCCATGCCCATACCCCTCACTCCCACCCCCGCCAGCAGCGGCAGCTGCCGCCGCAGCCACCATTCCCCCGCCCCCATCCAGCGGCACACACCCATCCTCTCCTCCCTCCTCCATGATCTTGTCCTTCTCCTTCTCATGGCGGCCTCTCATCCCACCAGCAGCGGCCATGGCCGCAGGGGGAACAGGTGGCGGGGGCATCAGCTCGCCGTCATTCATGCTCTGATCGCCGCTCGCCGCCGCCTTGCGGTGCTTGGCCACGCGCCCCTCGTTCCCACCACCACCACGTTCGTCACGGGCGCTGCGGCTGCTGAGCCGTCGCTTGCTGCGGGGGCCACGCTCCCTCAGGGGGCGGTTGTCCTCCTCCTGGTCTAGGTCCTCCTCACCGCCATTACCGTCACGACCGTCCTGCTTCTGGCCTTGCATGTCCTCATGGCTGCCGTGGCCGTGCTCCTGCTTGATCTCTGGCTGCTTCTTGTTCTTGCTGCTGCGGGCATTGGGTGCGTGGTCGAGGTAGCCTGGCGGGGGCTGCACGGTGCCATTGATGAAGTCGGTGATGAGCTTGCCCTCACGCTCGAAGGTCCGGAGCCTCTCCAGACCGGCAGCAGCTGCACACACACGGACAGTGGCCAAACGATCGCGTGTGGACGTGTGTGTTGTGTTGTGTTGTGTTGTGGTCATGTGTCACTTTTTTCTTTTGGGAGTTGGTCGAGGCCGCTTATGGCGTTGCGCTGCCGCAGTATCTCATGCAAGAGCCACAGCGTCTTCCTGCCCTTGTCCGAGCCCGTGTACCGATCCTTCAGCCACACACCCACACACGATAGTATAATTTCGTTCCCATCCCGTGGAAACGACCTTCTGTCTGTCTGTCTGTCTGTCTGTCTGTGAGGCAGGCACACCTTATACGCCGACTTCATCTCGTCGCCCTTCTCATACAACTGCACACACAGCACAGCACAGCACAGCCGACAGCAACACGCCCTATTGAGCGGGTGGGGGTGCAGCAGTGTGCCGACTCTCTCCTCGCTCCCTGACTGACCTTGATGTTAGACCTGATACAGATGGCGTACTGCCCCTCTGCAAGTGAGCGGATGCAGATATAGGCCTTGGTCCGCGACGCGTCAGACCGCAGCGTGGTGATCGTCGGCTCACTCGTCAAATACTCTACACACACACACACACAGCGTCACTACTGTGCTGTGTGGTGTTTCGATTCCCCACTGTATTTGATTTCATGGTCGAGGTCTATGCGTACGCCCAGTTGCCAGGTGGGCTTCGGGCCGCGCTTCCACCACAACAACTCACCTACAGGAACTGCACACCACATCACATCACACAAACAAACAAAGGTGATGGTGCACCGCATCCGATCCGTCTGCAGGGGTGGTCTCCGTTGTGTTGTGCGCTTCCGTCATGGCCATCGCTGCAGGGGTGGCTTACTGTCCTTGCAGTCGATGTCGGGCGACTTGTCAGGCGGCTTTGCATCTGATGCTGACGCCGGGAAGGCCATCTGACGCTGCGAAAGAGCCGCAGAACTCAAACAATCTCAACAATCTCGAAGGGTCAAAGGATTTGGTACCCTATAACCCCACAAGAGGCCAAATCCCGGCATTTATGCGCCTTGTCGGATAGCTGTGAGTTGCGAAAGTAAGGCACTCGGCCGACAAGAGGGCGAGAAGAGTCACTCGAGTCAGTCGTCCTCTCGACTGCTGCGGTGAGATGGCGGGCTGTTGTCAATGAGCTGACAGCCAGACAGAGGTGAGGGAGGCCGACCACTCACTGACTGATGCGCTCATCCGCTCACCTCACTGAATGCGTCGGCCTTTCCTGTCTGTCTGTGTGCATCTCTCTCTGTGTGTCATAAGGGCCCATCGCTGCAGTGTGGCTGAGGCGTAATGGCGGCCTCCTCACCTGCCGCTGCTGCTGGTGGTGGTGGTGGTGGTGGTGGTGTTAGCTCAGTCAGTTCCCTCTGATCTGTCTGTGTGAGCATCGAACGAGGTGAGCAGCGCAGAGATCTGTGAGCAGCATGCCTGATGGACATTATCCTCTGTCGACTCTGTCGCTCTGTGCAGCCTCTCGTCGAGCGCCTCATCCGACCGTCTTCTTCCCATGCAGCAGCAGCAACAGGAGCAGCAGCATCCCTTCACGTACATCTTCGTTGGTCGGCGCACCTTCTGGCTGCTCAGCCTCACAGACATACTGCGGCTGAGAGCCACCTGCACATGGCTCAGGAGTCTCTTCGGAGCGGCCCAACTGAGAGATCGGCTCCGCCAGTCTGTCGGCTCACAGGCGGGGCTGCGGCGGGCGGTCAACGGGAAGCAAGTCCAGCTGGTGCGGTTCGACGATGACCAGTTCGGCGTGTGTGACCTGCTGGCGGCTGTGTGTGTGATGGAGGAGGGGGACTGGATGGAGATGGGCGAGGTGATTGAGCTGGCGGGGCAGTGCGGCTACTGTGAGCTGCCTGTCATCCTCACGGCAAATGACATCAACACACACATCAACAAGACGGTAAGGCACACACACAGAGGGGCGGGAGGGAACAGGGAGGCCTCATTAGTCATTCTCTGTCTGTCTGTCTGTGTGGTGTGGTGTAGGCGTATGGATCGTTAGCTCGTGTGTTGGCGCAGCTGATGGTGGTCGGCCGCCACATGGACTTCGGTGACCGCAGACGCCTGCAGATCTTCCGCCATGGCAATGGTGAGGTGCGGGCCATCGAGGACGAGCCCGGCTTCGAGCTGATCGTCGACCCGCCCCTCGCTGCCGGCCATCTGTATCAGCAGCATCGACTCCTGCATGACCCACCAGTGGACAGCCGCATCTCCTACTGGGTCATCATCGGCAGATGAGGGTCGAGCTATTTAGCTCTCCCGACCACCATAGCCTCAGTGTCGTCGTTTGCCAAGCTCATGGTCCTCGACCACTTCGACAAGACTCACCCGACCAATCTCACAGTGACATATCTCAACAGGTAAGACACCAATGGCACCAGTGGGCGAGAGGGGTGCGTGTTTGATTGTGTGTGAGAGAGATTGTGTCTGATTGTGTGTGTGTGTGGTTTGTTCAGGCGTGTTGGTGGCGGCCGTCTGGATGGCCTCCTCACCCAGTCGCCCCACACACCGGTGGCCGGATGCACCACCACATTCAGCTCGGACGGTCGTGTGCGATGGCTGGTGCTCACCAACAGTAGCCACACCTTCGTGGCGTGGATTTCCATTGTGGATGAGGGAAACGAGAATGGTCAGGCTGACAGACATGCAGGTCTGCTGGTCAAATGCCACATGTGTCTTTCCTTTCTGGCTGTCTGTCCGCAGTGGAGGTTGTCGTTCAGACCACCGAGGAGCCTGTGCGTGAGAATGGCGCTTTCAAGGACCGCCTCCCCATGACGACTCAGCTGGGCGGTGTGGCGCTGGGGCCAGGACTTGCAGTCGTCTTCGACGGCCAAGTATATCAACTCAAGTATCAACTTGAGCCATCAGAGGGGGAGGGGGATGACGGGGATGATGGTACGCGCAGACAGAGGGAGGGACGGATATTGGTGGATTGATGAGTATGTGACGGGCCTCGCCTGTGTGGGGTGCAGACAGCGATGATGGCGGTGGTTCGGATGATATGGATGATGGCAGCGGAGAGGACAGCGAAGGTACGCAGCCAGACACACGACACGCAGGCCCCCACGTCGACTTGCGTCACATTCTGTGTGTATGTGTGTGTTGTGCCTTCGGCAGGTGACGGCGGCGTAGCTGAGGCGGAGAGCGGCGACTGATCGATTCATCAGTCATTACAGTACTGGTAACTGAGTGTGTGTGTCTGCCGTCAGGAGGGTATTTTGGCTGCTGGCCGTCGTCATTCATCCCTGTCGCCGATCTGCTTACTCTGTCGACCAGCTGCTAATCGATGTGTTACTAACCGAATGCCTGACATGGCTCTGATACCTGCGTGAGTCGGTCTATGGCTTCGCCTTTCTCTCTGTGGGGCTCTCCTCTCTGTGTAGCCCTCCCTCCCTCCCTCCCTCCCTCTGTATCTGTGTCTGTGTCTGTCTGTCGGTGTGGACATCGATTGCGGTCGCCCGTACTCGTGTTTCCTTCAAACACGCCATTGCAAGTCGCCGTCCGTTTCCCATCCCCGACAGACAGATATCACCCGACAGACACGCACCACCATCTCTCGTGTGTATGGAAACCAGCCAGCCAGGCCACTCACTCAGCGAGTCATTCAACATGTGGCGACAGACACACAGGCATCAATCACGACGCCGTGTCCTGTCAGCCAGTCAGTCAGCCATTCAGCGAGTATGTACACCTACATAGACTTAGTCAGTCGATCGACACGCACACGCTCTCTCACGCCAACCAACCCAATCCAAGACAAAACAAGATGGACACCTAGAGCGAGACATACAGAACAGTCGGCAGCCGGCAGCTAGCAACACATCAATCAACCGACCGACACACAACACGCTTGAAATGATGATGATGATGATTCCATTCCCACGCAGGCAGGCGGGCACGCAGACAAGCAACCAGGCAAGCAATCTAGTGTCTTGTCTTGCGACATGTGCATGGCACTGTCGCTCTCCCTCTCTGACTGACTGGCTGGCTGGCTGGCTCTTTCGGCCATGGAAACGAACAAACACCGGCCAAGCACCGATGGGTTATCAAACCGTGCCATCGCCACCACAACCACCACCGCACAAATGGAGACCAACATGGTCGCGCAACACATCCATTCAGCATGCAGGAGCCTCGTCTGTGTCGTGTTGATCCTGTCATCCGTCGAGGCAGCGGCGTCGTCGGCTCTGTCTCTGCCCTTTGGTGGAGAGCAGACCCAGCACCAGCGAGACGCACACACCAACAGAAGACGGGAATCAACCGTGCAGACATACGTCATCACACCACACAGTCAGACACCGTCGCAGCCCACCCACCCCCCCTCCGTCTTTCACTTGTTTCGCGCCTCCTCCACGTGACGCAGCCTGCTTGCTGGGGTGAAGTGAGCAAGCAGGTGTCGTCGCATCTGGGAACTCAACACAGCAAACGGGGAAATCTCAACGGCACAAAAAGACACCAGCCGTCTGCCTGCCCATCCGACAAGGGGACGACATACAGCGGTTCTCTCGCCCCCCTCCCCTTTTGCGTTGCCCTCTCCGTCCTCTGCCGACGGACCCATCCGCGCCCCAGCAGCAGACGGTACAGACGAGAGACGGACGCAGCCCCTCATCTGCAGCGTTAGCAGCAGGGATGCAAGGGACCACGACAGAGGAGGATCAGAACGGTGCACTCCCCTCCCTCCACACACAACGACCAACCGGGATGGTCATCGGCAACACAAAAACAGCAGTGCGTCAAGGCAGGCTGCGTCTCTCATGCAGCCAAGAACGTACAAAAGGGTACGGTACGTACGCATCCTCTGTCAGAAATGGGACTGGACGAGTACGCAGACACGCGGGCAAAATTGATGCAGCACTCGCCCCTCGTTGCCCCTCTCCCCAACTCACACAACACACACACTCACAGACACGCGACAACACGAGCTGGGCACGCTGCGGCTGGTCTGAGTTCCCGTCCACTGCAGCAAGATTGCTTCCTGACGGCACATTTCTCAATGCACCATCTGGAGGCTCTCCAGCCGCGAGTCAAGAGAACACAGAGCAACACGCTGCTATTGCCACCCAAGTCCGCTACGCTCTCCTGCAAGACAGAAAAAAACTCTTGCCGTCAACACACACTCGCTGTGACGCAAAACCACACGCATGGACCGCTCCGCTGCAGCAGTGTCGACCCCACCATACACACGGTCACAACACAAACACGCGTGTGTGGAGGGGCCGGGCCTCCCTCTCTCTCTCTCTGTTTCTGCGCTCTCCTCTCTTCCCTTTGGGCTTAGGTACCACGCACGCCAACAGACAGGCACATACACATGCAGGCAGACAGACAGACACGCAATATGCATAGATAGCCATGCAGACAGACACCAGAAAATGGAATGCCTCCGCCGCGGCGATGTGATCTGTGCGGGCGTCTTGAGTGAGTGAGTTGGCCGTCAGCAGCACCGACCGGCAGCATCATGTTCATCCCAGAGTGGTGTTGCCGCCGCTGATGTTGATGCAGACGGTCTTGATCTCGCTGTAGAAGTCCAGCGAGTGGAAAGTGCCGCTCTTGCCTGAACCAACAAACACACACACACACACACGCGAAGATAAAGCCCTACATCCACCACGCGTCTCCGCCTGTGTGTGTCAGTGTGTCGACTCACCGAGCCCGTGGATGCCAACCCCGCCAAAGGGCATGCGCAAGTCGCGGATGAGCCACGAGTTGACCCAGACGTATCCGGTGCGGAGCTCGCCGGCCACCCGATGTGCGCGCGAGAGGTCCTTGGTCCAGACGGAGGCCGACAGGCCGCTGCCGTTGTTGGCGGCCTCGATGACCTCACTCTCGCTGGTGAAGGTGACGATGCGCACGATGGGCCCCTGGATCTCGCCGGGGGAGGCCGTCTTGAACGAACGCTCCTTGTTGACCTTGCTAGTCGCGGACAGACCACCCTGATCAGACACAGACAGAAAGAGATATATATATATATATATATGTATATGTGTGAATCGGGTCTGGTGGCTGCGTGTCTTGTCTGGGTGTGTCTGACCAGGACGGTAGGGGTGAACCAGTATCCGCCGGCGAGGTTGCCGGTCATCTGTGGCTGCTGGCCCCCACACAGCACGACGGCGCCCTCCTCCTGCGCCACCTTGAGCGAGTTGATCATGATGTCCAGCTGCTGCTTCGACACTATCGGGCCGATCTCGGCATCGCTCTCAGCGGGATCGCCCAACTGAGAACACACACAACAGAGGCCGCGTGACAGGGGAGGTGGATCTGTGTCCGTGTCTGCGTGAGAGCGTGTGTGGGGTGAGGTGAGTTGACCCACCTTGAGCTTCTTGGTGGCCTCGACGAACTTGTCGGTGAACTCTTTGGCGATGGATTGGTGGACGAAGATGCGGTTGGGGCAGTGGGCGCGCTGGCCGTTGTCGTAAAGGAAGGCCGCACGGACGGCCTCCGGCACCAACTTGGTCAGGTCGGCGTCCTCGAACACACACATGGCGTGGCTGTTGCCCAAATCAAACGCTGCACACACACAGACGTGCAGACGTGCAGACAGAAAGTGGATCATTTATGTGTGTGGGTCAGCGTGTTGGGTGTGTCAGATGTGTTCCCCCCACACCACTCACCCATTTTCTTGATGCCTGATGCGGCGGCCTTGATGATCTCTGCAGCAGCGTTGTCGCCGCCCACCATGCCGATGGCGTTGACACCAGAGTGACCTGCCAGCGCGTGACCGACCTCCTCACCAGCACTGACACACACAGACGACGACCCAAAAGGAGAGTTGTCTCGCTCTCTGCTTCAATCATGTGTTGTGCTGTGCTGCTAACCCGTAGACGACGTTGAAGACGCCCGGCGGCAGCACCCCCGACTGAGCGAGGATCTGGGTGAAGAGGAAGGTGGTGCACGGCGTGGGGCGGGGAGGCTTGGCCACCACCGTGTTGCCCATGGCCAGGGCGGGCACCAGGCGCCAGAGGATCTGGTGCAGGGGGCGGGACCACGAGCCGATGATGGCCACCACGCCGACGGGGAACCGCTGAGTGTAGTTGAGGGTGCCCTCGTAGTCGGTCTTGGTCTCCCTCAGGCTGTAGAGGTTGTGCGCGAACTCGCGGAAGTTCCGCAGCTGGCGACGCATGTCCGCACGAGCTACGGGCAGCGACTGAAACACACACACACACACACACACACACACAGAGAGAGAGAGAGAGAGAGAGAGGCAAATGAGCACAAGGGTGTGGGTGTGATGGTGGGTGTGGTGTGAGCAAGGCAATCAGATCTGACCTTGCCCATGTTGACGGCTTCGAGTTTGGCGAGCTCCTCCATGTTGGCCTCGATGAGCTGCGCGATAGTCATGAGGATGTCGATGCGCTGCTCGCGAGTGGTCTTGGACCACTGCGGGAAGGCCGACTGGGCCGCCTTGACTGCCGCATCCACATCAGCATTGCCGGACAGGGGCACCGTGGCGAGGGCCTTGCCCGTCGCTGGGTTGAAGGCCTGGGCCGTCTTGCCCTCCTGCGTCTCGACGAACTGGTTGTTGACGTAGTTCTTGATCACCTGCACACACACATACCACATGCACACCTGGCGAAACATGAAACGCTCACATGCCGGCAGGACAGCTGTTCGGCTGCATCTGCCCTGCTCTTTCGTCCACTCTCCGTCGGGCATCTACTCTTTTCTCTCTCTCTCCATCCCCCCACCCCAGCGCACCCACCTGCGTCATCTTGCTGGCTGCGAGATGGGCTTGAAGATCAATCGAATTCGGCAGATGCAGCAGTGCGGAGGGTGCAGCACACAGACAGAAAGACAGTGGTAGCCACGCGGGACGGCACAACGTCGTCAGCGTCCAGTGCTGATGTAGCTCGCACTGGGCTAGGACATTCTGTGAAACTGCTCCCCGAAGTCAAGAAGCGCAAACTGGAGGAAAACTCGTGAGGGGAGCGCGGCCGTGCTTTCTCATACGAGACGACTGCGGTGACCAGAACCCACCCAGTCACAGACCATTCCTCTCTCTGTGGGTGGTCTGGTCCGATGAAAGTGCGCGAGTGCGAGTAATCGGACGGCACAAGTGCGGGAGCTGGTGAAGTGGTCCGTTCGCCAGCGATGCCCTCACTGTAAAGGAAGCCCAGGACCGGCACCGCCACCCGACTCGTGGTGGTGAAGTTTTCTCATTGCCCACCCGCACTGCCGGGCTGAGCCCTTCTCTTCTCTCTCGGACAGCTGGACCGCACCAACAAGGTAAGGTACGCACAGCCGCCGACACGACACAACACGACACCCAACATGCCCGAGACACGTATGTCGGGGTGTGTGTGTGTTCCCGTGTGTTGGAATGGTCATGCAGACTCTGCGCGCATTGCCAAGCCGACAGCCACCCGCGGAATTAAGCAGTCAGCGTCCGTCCGACGCCGCCAACAAGTCCGTCCGCGATCACTGATGCGCAAGGGAGAGGGGGGGACGGTGCGCGCGTGGCGTCTGAGGTCGGTCTCTCTGTCGCTGAGCCGCTCCCCTGGTGAGTCTCGCGACCCCTCCATCCATCCATCCATCCATTCCGCAGCCGACCAACACCACACCCGCCACCCCGACCAACACAACACAAGACATCAACCAACCGATCTGGTGCCACTGGGCACCACCCCGTGACCTCTGCCAGCCATGCCGTCCATCAGGGAGACTCACTGCGTGTGTGCCGTGTGTGGATGCTGTGCGCCGCGCCCTGCTTCTCCAATCTCACGCCCTCGTCTTCTTGTGCACATCCATGTGTGTGTGTGTGTGTGTGTGTGCCTGTGTGTCAGGTCGCCGCTGAGTCGTCGGCGGTCGAGCTGTCAGTAACAGCCATCGCTGCATTGGTGTGTCCATTTTTGGGGGCCGCTGCACGGGTCAGATGATGGCGCCTCAGTCAGATACTCTGTTATCGTGTGATTGAGAGTGCAATCGCTCCTTGCAGTGGGTGCTGCCTTCGTAAGCCTTCAAGCGGCTGGTGCGGCTGGGCAGCCTTCAAGCGACACGACGATGCCGGGGATGAGGAAGAGGACATTGACGCCATGTGGGAAGAGGCCAAGAAGGACGACAGTGTGGCGCTCCCGCACCCTCCTGTGTCGCATCACCCTTACGTTGCCACGGCGCCGTACGGCCAGCCGCCACCGCCCCCCTACCCCGGCCTCTACGCGCACAACGGCTGGGCGCCTTCCTCCCTGGCCATGCCGCCGCATATGCCGCATACCGTCAGATACGCTGCCGGTGAGCGAAGGCATCCACGCTTATAAGCATTGATGCCATGGCAGGCATCTATGTATTAGGGGTCATCGTGCAGATGAGTGGTCAGGAGCGGCAGCCCCTCTTCCGGACAGATATGTGCAAGTACCACCTGCAGGGCTACTGCGGCCACGGGCAACATGTACAGCTACGACACATGGATGGATGGATGGATGGAAGCCGGTGTTGGCTATTGGGTGTTGGTTGTGGATGTGTGTGTGCAGTGTCGATTTGCCCACGTCGCCGACCAGCTCGTCAAGAGAGGGAGGGGCGGCAACAACCCGGGCAGTTCGAAGAAGGCCAAGAAGGAAAGACAGCGCAGGAACCGGTGAGTTCGATAACAAAGCTGCACCAAGGCAAACGTGTCCGTCAGTTGAATCGCTCGCGTCGTTCCAAATCTGGCCTCCTGTTGGTTCTGCAGGCGTGCACGAGGTGCACGAGATGCAGCGGCGGTGACCAATGACGGCGAGGTCGACGACGATGTGTGTGTGAGTGAATGCGATGAAGTGATGCCTTGTCTGGAAAGTGGGCAGTGGACGGTTGCCTGTGAGTAGAGGTCAACATCTGAGTGCGCGTGAGAGACCACAAGTCTATCCATCCAGATGAATGACACCAGTTTGTGTGGGCATGTGGTTAATACTGCGGGCTCGTGCGTAATGGCCCGCATCAGAATGGGCGTGTCAATCTGATTAGCGAATGACTGTACAGCTCATCTGCAGTGCACACCGCTGTCGATTCACTCACGCACTCGCTCACTGGCCAGTCGCCATGGTCTTCTTTCTGTGCCACACACACACAAGGGCCAATTCACGCACTAGGGTACACCCACACACACACACACACACTCACACTCACACGCATTTCTCTCCGTCCACCAGCGAGTTGAATTCATCCGTCGAGAGGGCCACGCAGGTCACGCAGCAAGAGCAAGACACACTGGTCAACACACACACACATAGGCAACGCATTCAGTCAGCCAGCCTTCAGATGCGCATGTGCACATCCGTGTAGGAGTGAGTGAGTGCACTGACCTGCACTTGGCTGCCTGTCTGTAGCGAACCACCGGCACACACAGCAACAGAGTGATGGTAAGGGGAGGAGGCAACAGGCGGATAGACAGACAGAGAGACCGACAGACAGAGAGAGACCGCTGCTGCTCGCCGTGTGGGTGTCCTGTCCGTCTGCAAGACAGACGTCGACACGCACAGTGCGACACAGACAACAACGCCGAACACCGGCCAGTTCGGCGTGTGTGTAGGTACGTATGTCGAACGAAGGCCACCCACCCCTCGCCTCGGGCGTGTCACTGTAGTAGACAGCCAAGCAAGTAGGCAGAGTGAAAACATCATGAGAACGCCGTTTCAGTTGTCTTGCGGCCCCCTCCTTGTCCGCCCGCCCCAGTGGATCGATCAATCCCACAACAAATGGATGGTTTCTCAGTCCGCCCACAGCCCCACTGAACCGACAGACCAACAACCCACACAGATCGACAGACAGACAGACGGCCACGTGCAGCTCGGTGGCCGCACTGCCGTCTGTCTCTCCGTCCTGCCCGCCTGCCTGCGCTCACCAGCCACCCAGCCGCCCGGCCAGCAGCCACAAATGGACAAAACGCCACCGAGCGACCGGATCGCGAGAGGGAATGCTCTCGGCATCGTGGGTGTGTGTATGTATGCATCTGGATGATGATATAAGGGCAATAAACACCGCTGAGGAAATCAAGAGAAATGACAGTAAGGAACACACACACACACAGAGAGAGAGAGAGAGGTGTTAGCTAGGTTGAAAAGGGGGAATGCAGCCGAGTGAGGGAGTGAGCAGCGATGCTGGATGCTGTCACCCCTTCTGTGCTGGCAGAGAGGCTAGGGGAGGAGCTAGACACGCACACCACACCACACCACACCACACACCACCCAGGTATACCATTGAAAGACACAAATACAGCCCCACCACTCACATGCACACATACATAGTTAGTTACAGGCGATAACCCCCAGGGATAAATAGACCGACCGGCTCTCAACAAATTTCGCCCCTCTCCGCCCCGCCCCCTCTCGCCATGATGCCCCACTGCTGCCCCCACAGGCATACTCAGGCCGGACACACATCATAACATCATATCACAACACAGCACAAGACACTCTCTCTCTCTCTCTGTGTGTGTGTGTGTGTGTGTGTGCAGCCACACATGGGGAGACAGCGAGGCAGGGAGGCAGTACCGACAGCATAGCCCGCCTACCTACCTACCATGGTGAGTGAGTAGGACCGAAAAAAGGCACCCCATCCATCCCACATGACATCCCATGACATCGCTCCTCAAAATCAGTGCCATCCATCCATCATGGAGAGGGAGGAATCACCATGCAAGCAAGCTGCCCCCATGTAATGTAAGTGTGTCTCCTTCCCCGTGTCAGTTAGTCCCTCTCCCCCCCCCCCTCTCTCTCCGGTTGTCTCCTGAAGGGGAGTGACTGCACCCATTATCCGTCCATTTAGGCAGGCAGGCAGGCAGGCAGGCCATGCACACAAAGGAAAAAACACCAGGCAGAGCAGGGCAGCTCGCATCATTCTACTGTAAACCATCCATCCATCCATCGCCACACCAACCAGCCGGGCAGCCAGCCAGGCAGGCAGGCAGGCAGCCAGGCAGGCATCAGCTCCACTACCCTCACTCACTCACCCACAACGAACGACGCCCATGCAGGCGTGCGTGCCAAAAAGGGGCAACATTGTTCCCATCCCTCCCCCCC